CTGTCCGCAGCCTCTGCAGTGCCAGCTCGATCCCCGGCCGGACAGAGAGAAACCCACATGGTGCAGCAGACTTCTCCTGTCTTGCCCGCTGCTCCCCTTAGTAGAGTATTTCAGTCAGTCTGCCTGTTCTGTTCCCCACTCTGTCTCTGGTGAATCCTCTCACCGTCCCACATATCTGGCCTGTACCCTGTTCTTATATAAATAGATAAATCTTTAAAAAATATAAATTTAGCATTCTTTGCATTTTCTTTTTAAAAAGATTTTATTATTTTTGCGTAGAAGAATTAGAGTGTAGACCAGATGTGTTGGGGGTGAGAGGATTTACCAGAGACAGAGTGGGGAGCAGAACAGGCAGATCTACTGAAACACACTGCTGAGGGGAGCAGTGGGCAAGACAGGAGAGGTCTGCTGTGCCATGTGGGTAGCTCCCAGGCTGGGGATCGAACTCAGACCGCAGCAGTGATAGCCTGAGACTTAACCCCTAAACCACCAGGGAGACCCAGCCTTTGCTGTTTCTTAGCTGAATGATTTACTGAAATGGTTGCTAAGCAGTGGTTTCCTAATTACATTATTCCTTCTGCATTCACCATTTGATGTTCCACTCTAAGGGAGAGCTTTCTCCTCTCCTCATTTATTGGACTCTTATTTAACGGGCTGTATTATCAGTCTTATTCTTGATGCTAAATTGCTCCAGATCTGGCCAACAGGAGTCCCTCAAGCTGGCTTCTTTTTCCTTTTGACATGTTCTCGCTGAATATTTCCCTATGTTCAGCCACAAGATGATCCAGGCTTTTTCCTTCAAGGACCACTGGTTCCTGTTAGTGGAGAATCATATTGAACGGTCAGGATCTAGGTGCTAGATGTGCTCAGTGCTGTTGGGAGAGCAGCGCCTGCTGCTCCCCTCAGCAGTGTATTTCAATCAGTCTGCCTGTTCTGCTCCCTCCTCTGTCTCTGGTGAATCCTCTCACTCTTCCACACATCTGCCCCCTTCCAGTGGGCAGGGCTTGGGATGCACACGTGGATGTCCACAGAGCACCACACCCTGGCCATGGCTTCCTTCTGCCCTCTCTTCTCTCCCTTCCTCCCTCCCTCCCTCCCCATCTCCCTGCCTCCCTCCCTCCCCCTTCTTTTCTTATTTGAAGTAATATTGCATTATAACATAAATTTCATGTTTGTGTGTATGTAATATATTTTTATATCTATATATTGAAAACATCAGTTCATGCTGATTGCTCCAATTCCAGTGCAAACCACAATATTTAGTTTTTCCCTTTCCATACTTGCATTTCTCTTCTCCATCATTTGAGAAATCTGACACCTGTTAGCCTCAAAATATTTCCCTCCCCCATATCACCTGTTGCCACCTCCCCCCCCCCCCCCCCCCCCCCCGCCCCATGATGAACTGATGCTCCTATTCCCCCTTCACTCCAGGTATATGTGCTGTGCTTGGCCCCTAAAGCTAATGGCTTTTAGGTTAAATTTTTCAGAAAGGAAGAGAGGGTGAGAATTCCTTTTTATGATTACATAATCTTCCATAGTTTATTCAATTCCTATTGAAGGACATTTGGGGTATATTCAGTCTTATTCTATCATGTAGACAATCAGTAGTGCTGCAATAGATAACCATTTGCATAAATCCTTTTTATTTTCGTTATTATTATCCTGGAGATCATTTTTTTAGAAATAAGAGTATCAGGATAAAGGGTAAAAGTATGTAATTTTGTCTGATGTTTCCAAATCCTTTCTATCACCAGCAATGTATGAAAGTGTCTGTTTCTGTCCCCACACAGCCTCACCATTAGAATGTGTTGTCAAATTTTTATCCTAGCAGTGAAATTCCATCTCTCTCAGAATCTTAAAATGTTCTCCCTCCGTCTTGCCTTGGAACTTTTGATTCATTTTAAGCTCTTTTTTGCTTCCTTATATGTCATCCACTTTTGGCAATCAGTTTCCTCTTTGGATGTTTTTCTTCTTCATTTGAAGATCATTTTCCTTAGTGGAAAAGAGACATAAAACAGCTCACTAGGCTAGCCTTGTCACTGTCACATTTGTTGGATGAATGCGTGAGCCTGTTGACTCAGGGCTGTGGTGTGTCTGCGGCGTCCTGACTTGTGCTGTGGTTCATCTGTGGCAGTTCAGATAGCACTGCTGTACCCAGGACAGAAATAGGGAGAGCCGGGCCCTGTCGCTTTGGCCCTCTTCTAAAAGGAAAAGAAGTTTTCCATGGTGTGGCAGACATCTCCTGTCCCTCCTGCTGCTCCCCTCAGGCGTGTATTTCAATCAGTCTGCCGGTTCTGCTCCCTCCTCTGTCTCTGGTGAATCCTCTCACCCTCCACACATCTGGTCTATACCCTGGTTCTTGTATAAATTAATAAATCTTTAAAAAAAAAGTTTTCTTTTTTTTTTTAAGATTTATTTATTTATATAAGCACTGGGTACAGTCAGAAGCGCAGGAGGGTGAGAGAATTCATCAGAACCAGAGTGGACCAAATGGACCAAAATACACTGCTAAGGGGAGTAGCGGGCACCAGGAGAGATCTGCGCACCATGTGGGACCCTCGCCAGTGGCCGGGGATTGAGCCGGCGCTGCAGAGGCTGTGGGCAACCTGGCAGCCCAGCACTCAACCGCTGCGCCACCAGGGGAGGCCCCCCCCCCAAAAGAAGTTTTCTAAGAACACTTTTTGCCTTTTGTAGGCAGGCTGCTTGAAGGTTTCCCCCCCCCCACTGGGAGGATTGGACAGGATAATGTAGATTTTTTAAATGTTTTTTTTTTTTTTTTTAATAGAGGCATGTTTTATTTATTTATTTATTTGTTTTGTTTATACATGCACTGGGTACAGTCAGAAGCGCGGGAGGGTGAGAGAATTCACCAGAGCCAGAGCGGGGAGCAGAGCAGGCAGAAGGACCGAAGTACACTGCTGAGGGGAGCAGTGGGTGGCAGGAGAGGTCTGCGCGCCATGTGGGACCCTCCTCCGGTGGCCGGGGAGCAGCCGGGGATAGAACCGGCGTCGCAGAGGCCGCGGGCAGCTTCGCAACCCAGCGCTCAACCTCTGCGCCACCGGGGAGGCCCCCATAATGTAGATTTTTTAAATAAGATTTATTTATTCATACAAGAGCTGGGGTACAGGCCAGAGGTGTGGGGGGTGAGAGGATCCACCAGAGACAGAGTGGGGAACAGAACAGGCAGATTGACTGAAACACCTGACTGAGAGGAGCAGCGGGCAAGGCAGGAGAGGTCTGCTTGGATCAAACTCGGGCTGCAGATTGCTTCATAGTGTGTTGCTTAACCCCTTGCACCACCAGGGAGGTCTGGATAAAGTAGATTTTTGTGCTGCTGGAATTGCATGTTCCTGATTTCTGTTTCACTTTAAACACTTTGTGCATTCATTGCTTACATAAATATAAAAATTAAATTAAAAATAAATATTTAAATAAATAGATTACGAAAAACACCTCCAAACCCACTTTTCAGAGATAATTACTGTCAATAGTTTGGTGCATATTCTTTTCCGTATGAATTGGACAGTTACCCTTGTTGTCCTTGTTCGTTACCAACAGTGTGGATCACACAGGCTTTCATGTACGCTCTATTCTACAGTTAGGTGTTTTCTACTTGGTGGTTTATTGTAGACATTTTTCCATGGCAGGCCATGCAGATGTGCTCATTCTTTCTAACTGGTATGGATTCTCTATTCCTCATCCTCCCCAGTCAGTCCACTTCCTCTTGCATGGTGGCTGACCTCTACAGACTGCACCATCTGGGCCACTTTGTCTTCTGGCTTCCAGTTGGAATCAGCTTATTAAAGGGATGGACAGGGAGCAGAGGCGAGTGTTGGATGAAGAGATGGGCTACAGAGTAAGTAGGGGCATGACCAGAAGCTGCAAAACTTTGAAGTATCAGTTTATTCTTTTTTTTTTTTTTAAATAGAGGCATGTTTTATTTATTTATTTGTTTTGTTTGTTTGTTTGTTTTATTTATACATGCACTGGATACAGTCAGAAGCGTGGGAGGGTGAGAGAATTCACCAGAGTCAGAGCAGGAAGCAGAGCAGGCAGAAGGACCGAAGTACACTGCTGAGGGGAGCAGCGGGCAGCAGGAGAGGTCTGCACGCAATGTGGGACCCTCCTCCGGTGGCCAGGGAGCAGCCGGGGATCGAACTGGCGCCGCAGAGGCCGCGGGCAGCTTCGCAACCCAGCGCTCAACCGCTGCGCCACCGGGGAGGCCCTCAGTTAGTTTATTCTAAAGGAATTTAGAATTTAGTGATAGGTGTGTGAAGCAAAATGACCTCCCAAACATTCCATGCCCAAATCCCTAGAATCTATAAATATGTTATTTTGCGTTAGGACTTTGCAGATGAAATTAGGTTTGTGGATATGGCCCAGAAGCCCCTTTAGTTTTCACCTTATGGAATTCTATGCGGAATTCCAGGTGAGTACTGTACCTGTACTCTTGGCCTTCAGAATTCTGAGATAATAAATTGGTGTTTTAAGTTACTAAGTTTGTGGTTCTTTGCTATAGCAGCAATAAAAAACTCAATACAGAGGGGTTTAAGCAGGGAAGTAATTTCAGATTTTGTGTTATTAATAGCCCACTTGCTATGCTGTGTAGAAAGTGGATTTGGGAGAGTGCAAATTTGGAGGCAGGGAATGTTGATGTGGAAATACGGTGGTGGACTGGACTAGGAAAGGGGATACGATTTGAGATTGATTTGGGATGTTGGAATTGCCAGGGTTTGGTGACTGGATGTCGGGACTGAGGCAGTGGAAGGACGCAGGATGGCTGTTGATTTCGGACATGGTTGCTGAGGGACTGGTGAAGTGGCTCTTTGAGAAAAAGGCGAGCAGCTTGGAGGGTGCTATGCCATGAACTCAGTGTAATTCTTGGTTGTTCTTCATTTGGGAATTCTCTCTATAAAGACTTACTTCAAAGTAGAGCCTGTCAGTGAGATGAATGCTTTATCTTTGAAAACCTAAATTGTTTATTGTTCTTTTTTTTTTAGGTCATGTAGAGAATCGTAAATCATGTGAAGATGGGCCTCTTGGTATTTGTGCGCAACCTGCTGCTAGCCCTCTGCCTTTTTCTGGTACTGGGATTTTTGTATTATTCTGCGTGGAAGCTGCATTTTCTCCAGTGGGAGGACTCCAGTAAGTACAGTCACCACACCTGCCTCAGGAAAAGCCCTTGCAGATAAGCTCTTGTGTGGCCACGGTGCTGCCCTGTTCTTCAGCTGGGACTGGGGGCGCTTCCTGCCACTGGGCTGCTGTGGGCTGAGTGCCTGTCTGCCTTGTGAAGCTGCATGCCATGACACGTCCTCCAGTGACCCCAGCGAAAACATGCTATTCTTTAATAAAAACCCAAACTCTACCAGTACTTCTAGTTCTTCTAGTTTAATGTTGTTGTTCTTTTTAATTACTATTCTTAATTGTGTTCCTTTTTGCCATTTATTGCCTTGGGGCATTGTATTGAAGTTGATTTTCTTCTGCCCTTAAAACATTCTTTACCTTTTCCTTAAATTTTCTGTTTTCACTTTTTTATTGTCTGTTTTGTTTTCCCTCAAGGAACTTAATCTTTTCAGCCCTTCCCGCTACTGAACTTGCACCTGAATAGAACCCTGCTGCTGTCCCACCGGGAGCCCCTGATCCCTTTCTTCACTTGTACTTTTGGTGTCCTGTGTGACTCAGCACTTTCTACATGGCTGTCTGGACCCCCTGACTGGTTCCCAGTCACCCAGTGGTGCTCAAGTTTTGGTTTTAGGCTCACAGGGGAAGGGCTAGCGCCAGTGGTACCGTCCATGGCACCTTCTCTTCCTGCCATGGCTTGAAGTATCACACAGTGACCATAGTTTTCCTTGTGGTTCTTTTGTCCGATGACTGACTGAGCTCGGTGCCGGAGATACTCAGAAAAATCTTTTCTGATTCTCCTGTGTGTCTTCTCAAAGAGATTTTATTTTTATGAACATCTGTTGGAAACCAATGTAGAATTTGAGAGTAGACAGTCTCTAGTTGTGAGAGTAAAATGAGTTAGAATGAGTTGGAAGAGACAACTGACAATTGGCCTATTACTGTGTTGACACTTTAACATGGAAACTATTTCTGTGAAGAGTTCACTTATTTCTCATGTAGACTAAATTACTGAGCAGTTTCAAGCCAAGATACAATGTAGTGTTGTATCTTTAATTTATTGTCTTACATGGAATGTTTAAATGCCTTTTACATGCTTACCTTGTAATTACCACTAATTTATGTTTCCCAAGTTTATTTAAATTTCTCTGTACCAAGTTATTTTTTAAATCTTGGAGACTACCCAGGATAGGGAATATTTATCAGTGCAGTGTGGAAGTACATAGTTGGGGACATTATCTGTATCTGTAATGAATGAATTCACATGTATCTATAAAACAGATGACTATATGCAAGGGATGGGAGTCTGCTTTTCTTTTGAGAGCCACTGACTTGTAGAAGACATGACCAAGATTAGACAGCATTTTCCTAGAGAGGTTAGAAAGGAAATTCATGGAGAAACTATTATGTATCAGGTTTTAGGTTAGACAGTTTACAAATTTAATTTGCTTCTCACTATAATCATGTGAAAATGCTATTATTATCCTTATTTTCCAGTTGAACAAACTGAAGTATTTAGTTCAATTAGTTTGCCAAAGTTACTTAATTTTTAGAACTGGAATTGAATCCTGGTTTTCTGTCTTTACAATCTGTGTTCATTATTTTATTGAAAAATATAATAACTACTAAAAGTGGGATTTAGTTTTGTATTCTAATTGTTAAAGAGAGAAGAGGGACTCAAAGAAGAAATAGTAGAGAGTATAGGGAGGGGGGTGGAGAAGGGGAAAGGAGGGAGAAGGAGGAGGCCCTCCAGACCACAAATGGGTTTTTCCATTGGAGGTGGCAATGCTGGAGGCTTGATTGTTTATTGCTGATTATCTGTGTCCTTTAGTTAATTATTAGTTGAGTAACTGCTTCCCATTCTTTCCGTTATTCTGACTCTCAAGCCTTTTAGATATTTGTCCTTGAATAGGTTGCTGAAACTTTTGTACGGTAGCCTATTATCTTCTGTGCGTAATATCAGAGAACAGAGTAATATGCCCATCCTGGATGGCCTGCCAAGTCCAAGATGGGAAATCTGGTTCATATTCAAGGAAAAAAACAAGTCTAAGATGAAATGGCCCAGATGTTGGACTTAGCAGACGAAGTACTATTATAAATAAGTTAAAGAATTAAAGGAAAACACAGTGAGCAATAAATAGTTTCAGAGAGAAATGAAAACTATGAAAAGAACCAAATGCAATTTCTTCAACTGAAAAGTATAGGAATGAAATGAAGATTTCATGTAACATAGATTGTATTTAACAGAAATCAGTAAACTTGAAGAGTAATAGAAATTACCTAGTTTGAGCCACAGAAAGAAAAACTACTCAATAAAATGAAAAGAACCTCATTTATGTGTATATATATGTGTGTGTGCGTGTGTAATATATAATCATTTATATTATATACAAGAAAAGAGCAAAAAATATGTGAAGAAATAATGGATGAAAAAGTTTGATTTTAAAAAAGCATTCACTTACAGATCTAAGAAACTAAACTCTAAAAAGGATTACAATTTGTGGGAGGATCTGTCAATAACTACATTACAGTTAGACTTACAAAATCTAAAAATGAGGTGAAAATCTTGAAAGCAGACAGAGAAAAGGAAGCCTTATATATGCAGTAACAAATCCCGCTTAAAACACAATGAAAGAGTTTTATAGTTTGAAAGAAAAATACCAGAAGTCTGTCTTCCTGGAATTGTTCATCTAATGAGAATAGCCTTTAAAATGAGGATGAGGGCCTCCCCGGTGGCGCAGAGGTTGAGCGCTGGGTTGCGAAGCTGCCTGCGGCCTCTGCGGCACCGGTTCGATTCCCGGCTGCTCCCCGGCCACCGGAGGAGGGTCCCACATGGCGCGCAGACCTCTCCTGCCGCCCGCTGCTCCCCTCAGCAGTGTACTTCGGTCCTTCTGCCTGCTCTGCTCCCCGCTCTGGCTCTGGTGAATTCTCTCACCCTCCCGCGCTTCTGACTGTACCCAGTGCATGTATAAACAAACAAACAAACAAAAACAAATAAATAAATAAAACATGCCTCTATTAAAAAAAAAATAAAATAAAATGAGGATGAAATACATTTTCAAATAAAGACAAGAAAATTTGTTGCTAGCAGAATTGTGTTACAAAAGAATGCTAAAGGATATCCTTTAGAATAATGGGAAGTGATACCAGAAGGAAACTTGGCTCTACTGGAAAAAATGAGTGTCACTGAACATGGCAAATATAAAAGACTCTTTTATCATAACTTGGTTAAGAGACAACTGATTGTTTAAAGTGAAAGTAATAACCCTGCAAAGTGAGGTTTACATATGTAGAAAAGAGATATGACAATACTTGTATAGGGAATGGAGGGTGGATAAGTAGAATTTTAATGTTGTAAGATTATTACATTTGTGAAAAGGAAATAAGTAGAAAGTAGCAATGTGTATACAGTGAGCAAAGGGTTGGAAACGACAGATGTAAAGATACATAAAACTGACTCATAGTAAACTCTGACAACTTAAGGATGTATATTCCTAAAAAACTATTTGTCAACCACAATAGAAAGCAGAAAAACAGCAACAGATAAACAAAAAGCAGGAGGAGAAAATGCTAAACAGGTGGTAAGACCATTGACTTAAACCTGATTATATTGATCACATTGAAATATAATTAAAAGTGGAAACTGGTTAACCATCGAGAAGCATTTCAGGGTGCGCATGATCCGGCAGCCTCGCTCTGTCCTCCAGGCCCCTCTTCTGCTGCCTGTTACCCATTGGTGACTTTCTATAACCCAGCCCTTCAGGCTGTGACCTGAAGCCTTTCACCCTTATTCTGTGTAATCTGGTCTCATCCTTGCCCAAGTTTGATCATGCTGGTGTGAGGCAATCCCTTTAAAGGGCACAAGTTCAAATCTTCTTTTCAGTTTTTGAATCACTGCCAGGTGATTAAAAAAAAAAGGGAGCAAACTAATGGTTCATGTGACATCATGGATCAATCCCACAGACATGCTGGGAGAAAGAAGCCAGGTAGAAAGGGAGATATGTTGTAGGATTCCATTTATATGAAATTCTAGAATAGCCCAGTAGTTGTCCAGGTCGGGGATGGTGGAATCTTGAAGGAACTTATTACTATATTGATGGAAATGCCATCATCTATCTTGGTTGAGTTTGAGGTTACACGGGTGTATACTTTTGTCAAAAGTCAAAAGATCTGTGCTCCAGATATTACCTCAATTAAAAATAAAAAAAAAAAACTAAAAAAGATCTTTGCAAATGTTAGGAATAAATATGTGAATTCTGTTTTTAATTATACCCCATTAAAGTTGATTAAAGAAAGAGTACTTACAACATACTAAAATCTGTTATAAAGCTATAATTAAAGCTGTCATACTAGTACAGGAAGAAATCAATAGGTTTGTTATTTGGAATGCAGGAATAAAATGTGATCTTTGGATAAAGATGGAAAAGATGGACTGTTTTATTTAATTTTGAGACAATTATCTATTTAGAAAATATGTTAGGCCCCTTTTATACATATTACACAAAAATAAATTTCAGAGTAACATTTAATTGCAGAAATTAAAATACTAGGAAAAAAACGTTACATTTGGGTTGAGAAAAATTTTATTAGCTTGATACCAAGAAACCAAAAAAAAGTTTAAGAAGTTCTAACTTTTATAGAAAGCTTCTCTTTGGAGAAAAAATTTTAAGCAAAGTTGAAAGACAACAAAGATATTTTCAGTATATATGATAAAGAAATTATACTCTCGGGCCTCCCCTGGTGGTGTAGGTGGTTGAGCGCAGTGCTGTGAAGCTGTCCGCAGCCTCTGCAGCACAGGTTCCATCCCGGCTGGCCGGGGAGATACCCACATGGTACGGCAGACCTCTCCTGTCTCACCCGCTGCTCTCCTCAGCAGTGTATTTCAGTCTGTCTGCCTGTTCTGTTCCCCACTGTGTCTCTGGTGGATTCTCTCATCCTCCTGCATGTCTGACCTGTACCCGGGATCTTGTATGTATGAGTAAATAAATCTTAAAAAAAAAAAAAAAGAAATTATACTCTTAATA